CCGGTGCTGCAGCTCATTATTTATTTAGGAGTATCTGCATTTATATGAAAGATGATCCCAGAGGTGCTCGTTTGGCAGCTGAAGATTTCTTGGGGAAAAGAGGCCACGGAGCCAGGACGGGCTGTTCCAGTGCCCGAGTCCTGGGATGGATGGAAGGGGTTGGAGAGGGATGGTTTGGGTTGGAGGGGACCTTGAAGCCCACCCAGTGCCACCCCCTGCCATGGGGACACCTTCCACTAGCCCAGGTTGTTCCAAGCCCTGTCCAACCTGGCCTTGGACACCTCCAGGGATGGATCAGCCACCAGGGCACCCTGTGCCAGGGCCTCAGAGGAGAGGAATTCTCCCCAGTATCCAGTTCTGATCCTGAACTGCCTGTGGGGCTCAGAGGTATTTTGGTGCCACTAAAATACATCTGTGATAAAGAAGAGCTTCTGGATATCAAAATTAGCCAAAATTTGGATACCAATTACCTCAGATTATTGGATAGCACGTGAGGCACCTGTAGCCAGCTGTGGAAGGTTTGGGCACAGGAAGAACTTGGAATTTTTTTGATGTGTCTCCACACCAAGCCTGAGGCAGCACGGACTGCTGGGTGAAGGTACCCACACCTCAAAACCAGTCTGATTCCACATGATTTCACCTTTAATTCTCATGTGGGAAGAAATACTGGAAAGAGAAATCAAAAATGTGTGGAGAAAACTTCTTGGGATGTATTATTTACCTGAAGTGAAATACCAGATGTGTCCCAAACTTCCCCTGAGCAAGGCACCATCGTGTTTGGAGCTGGACGCGTCGAATGAGTTTGCAGCATCTTTTTTGAGCTGTTCCTTCATAAATCACTCAATTTCTGTGCATTTGGCAGGTAATTGCTGCCTCAGTGAGGCTTCTCTCTTGTGCAATTTGTGGCTGTGGGAAATGCAAGGAACTGCTGGAAGCCCTTTCCTCTGCCAGCCTGTTGGGCGAGGCTGTTGCTCCCCATCTTTAATTACGGTGCTGCAATCCCATCCCATCCCAGCCCTTTCCATGCCAGGCTGCTTTATCCTGAGCCTGGCCTCACTTGTTTCCTGTCAAATTCTCAAATTCCCCATGATGAACATTTTACCTGCATTTTCTCTCCCCTGTTCTTTTTTTTTTTTAAAGTACCTAAAGCTCCTAAAAATTCAGAGTGTAACTCATCCTTGGGTATGACCTTGAAATAAAGAGATATTTCTGATTTACTCCATGATTACAAAACAAAGATAGGAGCTGCCAGAAAAAATAACGGGAACAGCACCCTGGCTGCCAATGGATCTATTCCTGACCCTGCCACAATTTACTTTCATTTCCTCCCTCTTTGCTCAGTCATTGTAAGAAAAGCAAAATCTGCTTTGGGTTTTTTTTTTATATGGACCAGATTTACCCTATTTTCTGTCATGTGGATGTTTCCCTTCTCCTCTTTGTCCTGGTTCCTGACTTTTCCCTCTCGCCTGAGCAGATTCCAGCATGGAGATTCTTATTTTGATGCAGAGATTCTTATTTTCATGCAGGGTGCATGGTTTTAATTTCACTTTTAAACCCAAACTAATCTGTGTTGGTAATTGATGAGGCCTATAACTTACATTAAACCACATAAAACAATTTCCATAACCTATTTTGAGCTTGGACCTCCTTATTCCAATAAAAAAGGAGGCCTTGGTTATCCTGGCTGTACTGAAACCCCGGGATCAGCAGAGTTTATCAGCTCTTACCTGTCCTGATGGAGCAACTGCTGAAATAAGGGTGGAGCAGGCAGGGATGATGACAAGAGAGAATTCTTGGAGTTAATTCTGACCTCCACCTGTGAATCAGAGCCTTCCAGCCAGGGAGTTTCCATGGAAGTTGCCTGGAGATATTCCCAGGATTTGGGCTCCCCAAATCCAGACCAAAGGTTGTTTATTGGAAGGAACATGAAGGACAAAGTTGATCGTGCTTTGAACCGAGGGGCTTTGTTCAGTGCAGGCTGAATTTTCCTGCTGTGTGCGTGGAGAGAGTGAAGAGGAACCCATTTCCTGATACCTTTTCCTGGTGGAGTGCTGGGACAAGCTCAGATCCAGCCTCTGGAGCACCTCAGGAGGCACCAGACCTCCCTTGTCTGCTCACAAACACCAGATTTTCAGTTTCCTGGGATTATTTTCCCTGCACATTTCATTCTTTTCAGCTCCTTGATTCCCTTGACTACAAGAATTCTGCAGCTGGGCTGCTTTGGGTGCTTTGATGTTGGATCTGAGAATCTGCACTTCGAGTCCAGCTTTGCTCCTGACTTCCCAATTTGTCCCTTTGTGGTAGGATTTCAGGATACAGCTGTTGTTTGGTGTTTGAGGGAAAAATAATTGAAATTCTTTGGGTAGGGGTGAGAGGACAGGGCTGCTTTTGCTGCATGAATATTGATCATTCTGTGTGATTAAGAGAAAGTTAATTATTCCACGCTCTGTAATATTTCATTTGCAAACCTGCCTGTTCTGCTTTAATTTCAGTGCTCAGCCTGGCACGTGGCCACTTGTCCACGTCTGTGCCCTGGGGTGCAGCAATTCATCTGGGAGAATTGTCCCAATTTTTCCTCTCTCTGGTGCTGAATGATTGTAATTTGCTGTTTATGTGGTTCTGCTGACTCTTCCACACCTGCTGCGCTTCCTTTACCGTGGCTTAAGCAGTTGTTTGGATTTTTTCCCCTAACCTCTAAATAATTAGGGAATTAAATTTAAAAGTGGAGCATCTGAATTCAAAGTTTTAGATTATGACTGAATCACAAGGATGGGAAAGCCTTAAAAAAAAGAAAATAAAAATTAAAAAAAACCCCAAGCTTTTTTAAGATTTAAAAATTTTATAAGCACAGGAATTTTCCCTGGAATTCTGACTAAATTGTATCCTCAGACATGCAGGGGCACTGGTGGTGATCCTGATCCCTGTGTTCCCTGGGGAACAGCACTAAGGAAAAGATCCTTGGGAAGCTGTTTTTAATGGTTTTAGGGAAAAGCTGCCCTCAGGGGCTTGGGAGGAAAGTTCTGGAGGTTCATGGTCTGGGCACGTGGATGTGTTGTGGACCTCAGTAATGGATTTGGGAGCTGATCCATGAAATTGGCCAGGAAACCTTTATGGCAGGATAAATGTGAGCTCAGATGAGATGAAATTAAGAAAATGAGTTTTAAACAAGAGGTGTATGGTGCTGGCCAGCTGAGCCCAAACATTTCTCATCCCTTAAATTAATGGGGCATTTGTACTTTCAGGGTCAATGCAGCGGGAATTGGATCATCTCCTGCTCTGCTTTTGTTCCCTTTTTTCACTGCTGGATTATTGGCTCTGTTTGCTCTTTTATTTGGATTATTTTTGGTGTGAACACTTCCAGCTGCTGCGCTACAATTAGCCCAGTGGAGCAATTAACTACAATTAACATGGAGCTATAATGAAGCAGGAGAAAAGAGTCTTTCATAAAGAGCCTGACATCACAACCCTCACAGGAGAGCTGTCACCCATGCACTGGGCATACTGGTGGTACTGGGAGCTCCAAAATTCCACCCTCCCACCTTAGTGTGCAGCTGTGATCCTGTGGAATCCCATTGTCCAGGAATGTTTTTTTTTCCCCAGGGAAAAGGATTTCAGAGCTGGAACAGTTTCCTAGGATGTAATGTGGTCTCAAGCTGTCAGAAGTGTTATCTCACCTCCTCTGTCTTTTAGCTGGGCAAAAAAAATTGCTTCTGTTCCCTGCTGAGTGCCAAAAATCCCTTGAAGTCTCCTGCTGGAACCCAGTGATTTGGAATATTAAGTAGGGAGAGTTATTCCAGCTTTTCTGGATGCTAGGAGAAGGGAAAAGGGCTGGGGAAATCTCAAAAGGTTTTTAGCAGAGATTGTTTTCAGCAGCTTCTTTCCTTCCTAGTAAATACCTCTTGCCTAAACCCTTTAAAATTTAGTAAAGGTGAAGAATTCACACAAAAAATGAGTTTTCACTCAGTTGAAACTGCAGGGACCCTCCCAGAAAGCACCTGCTGCTGTTTCCTGCACCTCCCAAAGCCAAACAAAGGCAACAGGCACAACGAGGAAGAAAAGTGCTTTGCATGGATCCCACCATGGCAGGGCAATGGAAACCTTGGACAAAGTCCTCTCCACGTTCTGTTTGCCAAATGAAAATCGGGTGTGTGCTCCTGGAGATAGGAGCTCCAACCTTTGCATTTCTGAAAAAAAACTTTTCCTTGTGCTCTGAAAGTTGACTTGGATGTCATGGGGAAGAAATCCACTTTTTAAGGAATTAAAAATGAACAGGAGCAGGACTGACGAGGAGGTGCCCTGGTACTCACACCATCAGTATTATCTAGATGAGCAGAATCATTGGAGATACAATTTAATCACACTTGGAGATAGAATTTAGACCAACTTGCCAAGTAAATATTCTCAATTTTTCACCTCCAGTGATGGGGTTATAACTTCTAGTCTATTTTACAGACACTTTTAAGAGGAATTGTGGCAGGTTTTGCCATTTTTCACCTCCTGCAGTGCTGTGTTCATTACTCGAGGTGTGATTACAGCTTGGCACCCCGTATTTGCAGGTTACCAACTGTGATAAACTGTCAGGACAGCTCCTGCTGGAGCCCAAACATCTCAGCTGAGCCCTCAGCACACTCAGGTATTTCTTAATTCCTCAATCTGAAGCAGATCAGTGTTTTTTTTTTCCCTCCAGTAACAGGAGAGGTCTTGGGTTGGAGTTCACCCCAAATCCATTTAAAGGATTCTCAAACCTTGCCCCAAAACATTCACCACAAAATAATCCGTCTGCCACGGTGCCAGCCTGGCCCACACACATCCAGAATATTTATGAATGAGTGGAAAACACAGGAGAGCTGAGTCACACAGCCAGAGGTCGTTTCTGAAGAATAAAATTTTATTTCTTTTGGCTGAAAAAACTGCATACACATGTTCAGATCTGGGCAACCTTCACCACATGTCTTCGTTTCCAAACCAACTTGTGCTTTGAAGCATGCAGGAGCCCACTGCAGCTTGAGAAAGAAGTTAAGAGGGGTTTTTTTTTTGTTTTTTTTTAATCTAGAACTGTGCAAACATCATTTGAAAGCTATTTACATTTTGCACCTCTCACTTCTACTAACAGGAGCATCAGCTGGTAGAGACGTGCAGTGTGCAGCTGTAATTTATGATTTGGCATCCAGGTTTGATTTGTGTAGAATGAAAACAGAACAAACCTCCCATTGTTCCAAAACCTCCCCACGGGCAATGGTAATAAATCTAATTTCTTCTTTGTAAAGGAGATCTCTTTAAGCCTTCCCTGCAGGTATTAAAATATTATTTCCACTCTGGATCCTCTTCCCCTGGTGCTGGTGAGTGGGAGCAGCAAGAAAACATTTTGATTTTCATCAGAGAAGGCAGGAGGGCACCGAGACAGAGCAGGGCTGCTTCTTCCTGTCATCCTCACTAAACTGCAAGATGAGGTGGAGAATTTTTTTTCAAAAAGAAAATATTTTAGACCATCTGATGCAGAAACTTGGATGTGAAAAAAGCTGGATTTAAGTTAATCCTCCTGTTGCTTTCTCTTCCATCCATGAAAGCCTGGAATCAGTAACCAGCCAGACACGAGCACTCCAATCCTGCGGGATATCCTCGTTTTCTGTCTCCTCTAGCCTGCCCACGGGACTGTGTTGGTAGAACTTTGGGTGTGATGAGCCACCAAAAGTCTCACCAGAGTGGTTGGATGAGGCTGCTGGGAGTGGGAGCTGCTGGGATCCTTGGATCCTGTGCCATTCCAGTGGCTGTGTCCCATTCCCAGAGTGTTCATGGGAGGGGGGCTGTGCTCGGTGCCTCGCTCTGCTCTCCAGCCCCGGAGGTGAAGCAAGCAGGGTTTTCCTAAGAGCCAAACTGGAGCACAAATGCGATTTCACAAAGCTGTGAGAGCTGCCGGGCCCTGCTGGCGCCGGCTCAGTTCAGCACCCCGCTCTCAGGCTGGGGCCCGAAAATCTGGGAGAAGAATTCCAAGGCCAGGCGGACGTGGATGGGTACGAAGACGTAGGCAGTGTACACCACCATGGCCAGCACGGTGACGGTGATGGTGTGGAACATGGACTGCTCCCAGGGCTCCAGCACGTAGCTGCACGTCACCAGCTGGTACTGGTAGTACAGCCAGTACAGGTAGTCCTTCACCCTCTTCACGTCCATCTTCAGCTCCAGAGGGGCTGGAGAGCACCTGGAATGACAGGGAAATTGGGATTACAGCTGGGATATCCCATGGAACCGCTACACAAACCCGTTTTCTGCAGCTGCTGCTCAGTTACTGGAGCTGTCTCAGCTCAGTGGCCATTCCCACTTCCCAGAAAAGCTGTGGCTGCTCCATCCCTGGAAGTGTCCAAGGCCAGGTTGGAGCAAGCCGGGATAGTGGAAGGTGTTCCTGCCCATGGCAGGTGTGGAACTGGATGATTAAACTCCCTTCCCACCCAAACCTTCCTCTGATTCTATCGATTCCCACGTTCCAAGTGTCTTTTCCTATCCATTCCCTGTGGAAATCGGGGAAAGAAGTATGTAAAAAGAATGGCTTTGGGCCAGCTTCTATAAATATTCCATAAATTCTGTGTATGCCCTGGAATAAAGATGAGATTTAAAACAACTGCTCTGTAAAAACTCCTCTGCTTACTTTTGATAATAATTTTTATTGTTCTGCAATTGTTGGGAATAAAGAGAAGCCAAGTTATGAAAGAGAGAGGGAGGAAAAAAGTAATCTCCGATTGCAGAAGGATTTTTTTGCAGCTCATTCCAAAGAAATGAAAAACATTACCGATTAAAAGAGTATTTAATGGAAATTACCGGTCTAGGAAAGATTTTCCTCTTGGGTAATACCTTTATTCATTCATTGTTCCCATCTCCACTTGGAAAAGAGAATGGCTGAGCAAGAATTAAATAGGAAATAGGGTTTTCTTCCACTGTTCATTTTTAAATGTGGTTTTTGGCATTTGAAACAATCTTTAAATGTAGGCTAAAAGCATCTCTTTAGAGAAAATAGAATGATAAGAAAGTGTACAAGGCTTTACAGAGGGATTCTGTTATTTTGGGGTTTAAGGGTGTTCCAAGCACATCAGTCCATAGGGGATTCATCAAATTTCCCTGCTGGAAAACCTCCCAATGCTCCATTTTCTTCTACACTTGTGCTGCCTAAAATGCCAGAACAAAGAGGCTTGGACACATCACATCCCTCCAGTCTGAATTTGGGGCAACAGAACTTTGCTGTCCCTCAAAGCAGCAAATCCTGAAGTGGCACTGGGAAATTTGCAGCCTGGGATTAAAGCAACGATGGGCCACTGATGGAGGTCAAAAATATTCCAATATTCCATTGGAATTCAATTCAAATGTTTTCCTGCTCTGTTCTGGGGGCATGTGGGATTTACCAAAGGGAAGTTTCCCCCTTCTAATTCTCCCAAAGCATTTCCTTCACTTCTATCTCCCCGTATTTCCTAGACAAGGAATTTTCTACAATACTTTTGGGGTACAGATCACCATGTGAAATTTAGCAGTGGCTGTCTCTGTGATCAGCTTTTCTTGCAGGAGCTTTTTCTTGGGGAGAAAGGCACCGCTGCTCTCTGGCCAGGCATGAATGGAAGCTGATTCCTTTCAGATCATTTGTTTGAAGGCAGAACTCCAGAGGGAGAGGCCTTAAAGCCTTGGAAATATTGCAAAGTCTTCAATAAAAATGGCCCAGCTGGCAAAGTGGCACTCCCTGCCAGCCAAAAGGGTCTCTGTTTGGGCTTCCTGCAAAAAGAGCAGCGTTTCCTGCAAAAAGAGGGGGTGAAGTGCTGGGGGGAGGAGGAGGAGGGGAAGGGGAAGGGGAAAGGGAAGGGGAAGGGGAAGGGGA